TTAATAATTAATATAAAGGTAAAGGCTTTTATCTTTCTTAAAGATAAAAAGGATAAATATTTTAATATTACTTTTAAAAGGGTATATATACTTTTTAATAAAGTTATTATTAAGGTATATATATAACTCTTTTAGCTTAATAAGAGATAAAGGATAAATAAGCTTATAGAAGGGATTATCTTTTAATTTAATATTAATTATATAATCTATCTCCTTTATATAAAGTAAAACCTTAATATTTTTATAAAAGAGAATATCTTAAAATATAATAATCTTATTTAGTATTTTATTAATTCCTACTTAAATAATTAGAGTAAAGTAATTAATTATAGTAGCTACTTCTTTTTTTTAAGAGATTACTATATATATATATATATAATTTTAGTAGGATTTAATAAAGTCTTAAGGCTTTTTAACTTTATACCCCTTTTTAAGTTATTTATATTATTATTCTTTATATTATAATATTAAGTATATCTTAAAATAAATAATTATAATAATAAATAATAAAATAAAGGTTCCTTCTTCCTTTAAATCTTAATTAATTACTATATATAAATAAGTAAAAGTTTAATTTTAACTCTTTTAGTCTTATATTATAATAAGTATTTTATAAATATTATAAATAAATATAATAAGGTTATTTATACTTTTAAATCTTAATAATTTAAAATAGGTTTTTTATAACTTATAAGCTTTTATAAAGTTTATATTAATAATATCTATCTTAATATTAATATTTAAATCTATATAGGTTTTAATAAGGTCTTAAATATTAATTATAATAATAATATATATATTAATTCCTACTTTTAATTAATTAAATCTTAAAGATAATATATTAAATATTATATTACTTTTTAGGCTTTTCCTTTTTTATTAAAAGAGTTAACTTTTTAAGCTTTATAAAGAGCTATATATTAATTAGTAAATATCCTTTCTTTTAATAATTATAATAAGTAATTTAAGATATATCCCTAAGAGTATCTTTATCTCTTTTAGTTTTTATTTCTCTTTTACTTTTATTATTTAAATATAACCCTCTTTAAGGTTCTTAATCTTAAATTAATATCTATAAGTCTTTTATCTTTTATTCTCTTAAGAATAACTTTCCTTTTTATAGGAATTTAATATATATCTTTAAAGCTACTTCTAGTTAATAAAGTATTTTATATTTTAATAATATTTAATTAACTTTATAACCTCTTTTTATATCTTTAAGATATTAATATAAAGATTAATATAATTTTAAAAGGACTTAAATAGTTTTATAAAGAAAAAGTATATTCTTTTATTTTAAGTTTTAGCTTAAATTATTTTTAATAAAATTAAAGTAAATATAAAAGTCTTTAAAGGATTATCCTTTATATTATTTTATATTTTTAAATTCTCCTTAAAGTTTTAATTTCTAAATTAATACTTCTTTAAGTAAAGATAAAGTTTAATTTATAAAGCTTTATTAATTTAACTCTCTTTTCTTTTATTTCTTTAAGGAATTCTAAAAGTAATTAACTTATTTTATATAATTATTTATATTTATATATTTTAGTATTAAGAGGATTTTTTATTCCTCCTTATAGTATTTCTTTTTCTTATTCTTAAAAGTATAATTAAAATTAATTAATTACTCCTCCCTTTTATATAATATTATATTATCTTTAAACTTAATAAAATTCTTAACTTTAATTATAAATTAATTATTATTACTAAAGGATAAGTCTTTATATTATTAACCTTTTTTATATAAGTAATTTATAATAACTTTACTTAATTAATTATATAGTTCTTAAATAGCTTTAAGAGTTTATAGTTATTTATTCTTCTTATATATCTTTTAAATAAGTACTTTTAGGTTAATAAAAGTATCTTTATTTACTCTCTCCTCTTCCTTTTCTATCTCTTTAATTATATCTTTAATTAAAGGGTTATAAATATTTCCTAAGATTATATTTAAGTCTTTATCTTTAATTTATAAAGGTATTAATATAGATTATAATATTATATATATTTAGGTTTATTTAGTTATTATATTATTATAAGTAATTAAAAAAGAAGCTTTAGAATTATAATAAAGTATAAATAATTAGATATAATAGGACTTTTAAGGAAGAGGCTTTATTATAATATTAAAGCTTAAAGAAGGAAAAGTCTTTTTTAAAAGTAAAAAAAGAGAATACTCTCTTTTTAGCTAAGGAATTAAACTCTAACTTTAAGGTAGTATTTATAAGATATAGCTTTATTATATTATTTATTATAAATATTACCTTAAAAAGATTAAAGCTTATTCTTAATATATTATATTAAATAATATAAGCTTTAAATTTATTCTCTTATTATTTTAGTATTTTATAATAGTAGTTTTAGAATATAAATAGTATATAGACTTATTCTTAGTATATAGTAATAGTATAAAGGTTAGAAAGATTAAAAAGGTTAAAAAGATTAAATAAATTAAAAAGCTAGAAAGTAAACTTTTTAAATAAAAAGAAGAGAGAGAATATTAAAGTTTAGCTAAAGAGATAAAATAGTAAAAGAGTTATAATACTAAAGTTATACTTTATAGCTACTTTATATTATAGTAACTACTATTTATATCTATTAAACTAGCTAGTATTTAATTAAACTTAAGTTTAAATATAGAAAAAGCTTTACTTTTTCTTTTATATTTATATTAAGATATTAATATATAGTATTTAGAATAATTATTTCTATTAATATATTAAATAATAACTCTTTTTTTTTTTTTTTTTTTTTTTTTTTTTTTTTTTACTTATATAATATAATATAATATATTATTTTTAATTCTTATAAAGAAAAAAAAAGTTTAAGTAATTAAGCTTTTTAAAACTATTTTAATAAATATAGAAATAAATATAATTTAAATATAATAACTTATTTCTAAGAATATTTATATATTTTTAAAGAGAAAATTAATTTTTTATTAAAAGTATAATATACTTTCTATAAACTAAATATTAATTTTAAATAAGAAACTTAAGTTTAAATATAGAAAAAGCTTTACTTTTCCTTTTATTATTTATATTAAAATATTAATATATAATATCTAGAATAATTATTTCTATTAATATATTAAGTAATAACCTCTTTTTTTTAATTTAATTATATAGTATTAATCTTAAGTAAGTTATAAATTATAAAATTTATAAAGGCTTAACTATTAACTTAGTTTATAATATACTCTCTACTAGAATTAAGTTACTAAAGCTAGAGATTAAAAAAGATATAAAGAATTTATAGATTATTTTATTAGCTTAAGTATCTCTATTTAGTCTTAACTAAACATTAGTAGCCCCTAAGCCTTCTATATACTTATACTAAAGATCGCTACTAGTAGATTAAGAGATATAATACTACTACACTAGATAAGTAATATATTAAATGCTTTATTAGGATAATTAGAATATTTAATTTAGTTCTATTAAAGTAAAGAATAATTAGTTTAAGTATTAATTACTTCTAAGGCTACTTAGATTGCTTAGATATATAGGATGAAGAAGACGCTAGTAATTCATCGAAGATAATTAATATTATATATTTATATAGTTTATTAATTTCAAGTTCTCAAATATGGATAGCTTAAATGAGTTATAACTATAGAAGACCAGGATTTACTTAACAACTTCCAAAGCTCGTAAGTTTCTCCAAGCGTATAGGGCCACTTCTTAAATGTAAGAATTGCCCAAAACATGGCGCTAATGTAGCCGAGTGTCCAGCGAATACGGCTTCACCGCTCATGTTGCGGTCAGAATCAATATATCTGAAATAGGAAAATAGTATTTGAAGATTTAAGCGAAAAGATACGATAAGTGCTAGGCAACAAGCGATGCTTCGTTCTCAAACCACGTGCTTCGTAAACCCAACCCAGGCCAACAAGGGAAAACGCGGCGAGTTCCTATTCTGGCCTTCCATCTAGCATGTAGTGGCAAACTGGACTTTTAGTTCAAATGCTTCTAAGTCATGCGCTCTCTGGAGAACTTTCAAGACAGGAGCGAAGAAAGATTTTCATCCATGGCAAGGGACTACAAGATACCGCCTCTTCCCAACATAATCGTTACAAAGAACCGGTTCCACGTAGAAGAGAAACTTTTGGCTCTGTTAGCACCATGTGGGAACTCCTATAAATTCCAATCTTCTCTTCGGCCTTCCTGATTGAGGTTTAGGATATTCCCATGTTACTTCGTAACGTGGTCTAGAATGACCATTTACCTATCCAGGGAGAAATATCATGCCGTTAGACTCGAGCCATAGATATCTGAGGCAAGCCCTGCAAAAATTATCAATAAATTTGCAATCTCAAGCCCCTGGGCTCGGTTGCATGCTTATGGTACTTTGGGGTGCCAGAAGCAGACAGAAGTTCTAATCAAGTTAGGATATAAGATAGACCGCCCAAGTTAATCTGGCAAAATGTGTACCAAGTGCTTTCTTATTGGATAAAAGGCTGTTTTCTTGCAAAAGGTCAATCCTCCCAGCTGAATCGTCTGTTGATAAAATCAATGGTTCTTCGACCACCTGAATAGTAACACTGGCTATCAACAAGGGCTTCAAAAGTCCCATCGTTCTCCTAAAAAGTCCAAAAAATGGTGGGTCAGTCGAAGAGTCTAGAACTCCATACACACCGACAATTCCATGGACATTGTGATTTCTCGAGGACTAATCATGCAACCATGGGAATGTAGATTGTGCCAAGAGGTGCAACCTCCTGAACTATCGATGTGCGTGCGCTTGAGACGACTATCTTGACATTGTGGCAAAATGAAAGACAGCAAAACGCCTGAACTATAAGAGGTCTGCTAGTTCGCCATAAACTTGAGAAAAAATCATCATCCCAAATACTGTACGCCGCCCAAGACAAACACTCTACGGTTCAAACTCCAGGTGCGTATGTGAATTCTCAATACCCCTTCTAATGTCACTTCTCATTGGCCCTGAAACTTTAAACCAACGAGCTAACATCCAGCCATAGTCTGTCCAACGACACAATGCGGTTTGACTACGTTATGGGCCTTCTGGCCGGGCTTGCAACAACCGCCACTGCAGACAGCATGACGGTCTTCACCAAGTGTAGCCTTACCGATTGCAACAGTGGCGAAGCGTATTTCTACACCAAATACGGCACCTACAAGGTCAATGCCAACAAAGGGTGCAGGAAGACCAAGGTGCCTGGGATGACGGAGTTTTGCGTCGATTGGGGAAAGAATCGCGGCCACTTCCGCTTTAACCACCAGTCTAACAAGCGTTGTCTCTTGATGAGGTCCAAAAGCTTTTATGCCTGCGATTATCCTAGATGCCACAAGACTGAGTGGAAGGAATCTGGCTGTAGCTGGAGGGAGATGCCTTCGAACGACACCGTGATTGTGACCGAGTCTGCTACGGCTACTGTTGCATTCCCTGAGGAAACCGGTGATGGTACATACCCCATAGATGATGAGGAGTTTAACTACGTCCCAACCCCAGAGATTACCGAGGTCCCTACTCTCGACTAAGGTCATGAGTTGACCAACGGGAAGCCGACGAAGGGGGGAGAGGGAATGGCGGAGGGGAGGCGTGATGACGGCTGACACAGGGATGAGAATCATGTCATTCTTTTCTCTGGAGTCGTGAAACTTTTTTTCAATTGAGGGCATCTCGTCAAGAAATAGGTCACTATCAACATTGCGAGCTAGATTTGTGCTGATGCTTAAATAGCATTTCTGCAAAGTTTTTTGTTGTATGTCCTTCTGTCTTCAATGTGTATTGTAGCCCAATACACCTTTCGAGATGATATATCTGTTTGTCAAAACCTGACATACATTGCTCCATGATATGCGTGATAGGTTCTTATCCAACACATAGTTTCGAGGTCCATTATTTCCTTTCTTCGTCATCAGTTTCATGTAGATCCACAGAGTCTGGACTCAATCAACCATTTCTTGGATGGGAAATTCCATTGATGATACTCCGTGTAGGGGGTTTCAAGCCTTACAACTCGTTCCTTGACCAATTGAATGACGCTTGGTAGCTTCAAAAAGGCCAAATTCTTTTTTTCTTGACGCGTACCTGAATACTAAGCACAGCCTTGATTGGCCAAGTTGCTATGCCAAGAACATTGGCAATCGGTTACCCATCTCCATTAGGATGGCTATTATGATAAACCCCGGTCACGTAATATTTTCAAAAAGAAGCTTATTCCCCGAAATGAGATGCCCATTGTTCATCTTGGTTTCCAAAACTCCTCAATTGCGAGCTTCTTTGCTCACGCCACTACCTTTGTTAACCACGAATTTCCCCTCCCACCAAAATGCTAGGCTTGACTCACGCATTCTCGAGCCAGCCGGCTTTTCTAAACTGGAATTTCATTTTGTTAGCCTTTTCTGGAACGGCCCAAGCTGCCTCGGCCATTTCTGAGGTCGATCTCGTCTTTCCCCTCAACGAGACCTATGCGCCATCCCGTCTCTTCCCTATAGTGTTCGCCTTTCAAAGCTTTAATCCCGCAACAGTTGTAGAACCAACAATCAACACAGTGGTGACAAACTATCATAATCCAAATATCTCCTATAGCAACATTTGGTTCTTGGGTTTCCATATGTTCAACCGCTCGGAACCCTACTTCTTCACAAGACCTTTCGACCAATTTGGGACTGAGGGGACTTGGATCATCTCCTGGGAGTTGGACTGGAGAAACTGCAATATGACCGAGAACCCATCTCCTGACTATTTCATCAATAGAAATGTCTCTCGTGGTCACAAGACCATCTTCACGACCCACAAGGACTCCTCCAAGCAGGTGGATCTTTTTGCTGATATCAACAATGAACAGGCTTGTTCTAGATCTTCTGGTGCAACTCTCAACATTATAGACACAAGAAAAGTCCCAGACCAGTTCAAATCCTCCATGCACTGGGGCGGTGACACCTGTGGCGTTGCATCTTTACTTTCCAATCGAGCCGATCCTTGCCGGGTCAAGATGAATGAAACGGTGGCTTCCAAAATCCAAGCTTCAATGGTCGCCGATGACTGTGAGCAGGCAAAGATCAAGGCCACCGAGCCGGCCGTGAGTTGCCCACCACAAGAGACTGGAGCTGCGGTGCAGCGACACGGTATTTGGGGAGGAGTCTTCTTCGGTCTTGTTATCACTGCCGTGCTGAGTAGATTCTAAATTCGCGCAAAGTTACATGGAATATATGTCAATCATGACCTAAAAAAAGATATTGTCTGAGGCAGAGCTGGCTAGTTGTCATGAGTCTAGGTCTCGGGATCGGAGCGATGATACTCAAGACGAGACAGACTGTTGGACGGCACTTTACCGAAACACCATTTAAAACAATCAACACGTAAATTGAATCTGTCAATTAAAGGCAAGGAAGCCAATCATGGCGGGGGACTCGAACTTGATTGGCTTGATGTGACTCCATGCTGAGACAAGTAAAGTCGGGCGTGCCACTTGTCAACTGTGCATGCCTCGCGAGGCTGGCAGCGAGTTAATTTATTGGGAAATAGCAAGATCTCACTGTTGGGTAAAAACAACAATTGTATCATATAACAATCAAGAATAATATAAAGTACAATATAGTCTAGGAAAGTCTTAAACACCAAAAAGAAAATGGCATGGTGCGCCAAAACGATGTTACTGACACATGGAAAAAAAAAAACCGCTTGTGTCTTGACACGTCAAGTGCGTAAATTGCTGGCATGATAGTGTGAGTATGCTAGTCCATTCCTTGTACCATTCGTTTCTGCCTCCATGAAGACGTTGCGAACTGCCTGAGTTCATCCATTCACTTGGTTGGATCGGAAAGAACATGGGATCCCCGTTGAAACAAAATGGAAAAACACCAACTTAGTGGCTGAGCTGGGACTTTGGCATAATAGGGCATTGCCAGTCAGCCTGTACATAATGCAAGAAGGTGAGGTGATGATGGGGAAAGGGACTTTGACAACTTCGCCACCAAGGCGTTTTCCTCCCATGTATGTCTGTCTAGACTGAGTAGTTAGTCCCTGCTCGTTTATTTTGGCCTGGTCAACTATTTTTAAATCATACACCACTTAAACTTGCGACCATTCTGAATTTCTCAATTTCCCCAAATCATCACCAACGAGATCCAGATGTCGAAACCTCCAGGTCGTCAAGTTGATTTCCCCCCCCAAGCCGGCACGGCACACTGAACTCAACAAGACATCATAAAAACTTTAAAAGGTCCAAATAATTAAACATGGAATTATTCCATGTTTACTTGGTGGAGTTCATCACCTTGCTCATTGCATTTTGCACCTCAATCGCTGGCATTATTGAGTGCTATGGCATGATCCCCAAAACAATCGGGGATACAAAAATACAAGCTATGAGCATAAACCCGTGGTGTGTAATGATGTAGGCTATCTCCTAATCCCATCCCCTGAGAAGTGAATATCTATAGGCTGATACACGAGTGATTGTTATTAGATGGATGACGCTCTGGGTTTTCACAGCTTGCATCCAGATCGCTTCCATACACAATGATTCCCCCGATATGTTCAAACCAGCACTTTCAGTCATTGCAACGTGCATAGAGTATATCGAGATACCTGCTCGAGCAGTGATGATCATTGAACAAGATGTAATATTAATGGCATCTATCCCCTCGGTGAAAGAAACGCCTTCCACAGTCCATTGGAACGAACAAGTCCCAGATCAGACTGGATTGAACAAGGTGACGATTCTATTGCTAATCCTGACATGCCAAGCGATGATTGGCTATGTGAAGGCTACATTTGCATTGATCGGTTCAGCCGGCAGCATATGCCACAGAGTGGCGAGCTGTGCATGTGCCATGGTTGAATTTGCAGCGGTTTTTTCGGTATTGATAAAATTCAGAAAGACTTCCAAAAGGAGACCTGATATGTCGGTAAGAATGCTGTCATTCCATCGCTGCACAAGGGCAAGGTCTAGCTAGTACTGACAATACTTGCAATCCAAAAGCGAAAGTACGTTTCAATACTGTCCGCCATCATCCTCGCCTGCATGCGGCAGCTTGTCGAAATCAACCATGTGCTGGACTTTGGCATGCTGGTCGGCAGACCACGAACTACGTCGACAGCTCTCGCCATTCGCGCTTGCGCAACCGTCGTGACCAGCTGGTCTTTCGCAATCTGCGTTCATGTCAACATTTTCCATTACGGCGAACGGGTGAAATGTCTCCTCGCTAAAACATCTTCCGTTGAAGCGTCGTCTGAGGGGCAGCTACTACCGTCGGAAGAAGAAAAGGAGACCAGTGGCCTTGTCAAAGTCTAGAGGAAAGTCCAGTATTGCTTGGCAGGCGCATGCATATAGATGTCGGCATTGGGATTCAATTGGAACACCCTTTCCCCGACATAGGCATCTGGTACTGATGAATACATCTTTCGGTGGGAGTAGGCGCAGGAGGACAAACATCTTGTCATCTTTAGATTGAGTCTACGTAAATTGAATGTACAAACTGGAGAAAATTGATGCGGTGAGAGGCCTGGGGGCAAGATGATTCAATCGACTGCTCAGAGAGTCGCACCATTATTGCATATCGGTACATCTTTAAGTGCCACAGCGGTTAAATAGCGCTCTGCTTGGAACTTACAAAAAAGTTAGTCACAACTTGGTCTCAATTTATGTATGGCGTATTGTCTAGCTCCCATCTCCGTGCAGGAAGTGGTTCTCTTTTCACGACGATAGGTCTGTAAAATGAGTTGATTCAGCTTTCACCCCACAAACGTGCGGGGGAAAAAAGCATGGTTTAACTCTTTACCCTGTCATCATCCCAAGGAGGAGGCTAATAAGGATGATGTGTGGCAGCTATAGTATAGTGAGGGTCAGTACTCAAGAATCATACATACTGGGTGAACATCATCAATGCTCATGAGGACGACCAGTAAGGCACCAAGGAGAATTCCGAAGCCACCAATTGAATCAGAAGTGCCGCCACCGGACTGATGGCATTGAGCAACAATAATCTCATGTTACCGTCTGTGTGGGTTGATTGTAAGGAGAGTTGCAGCAAGACCTGGCATACTTGGCTTGCGGCTGACGCATACAGGCATGACAAAGGGCCAATAGCTTCAATTTGGCGCCCTATCGAAAACAGAGATAGTGGATCAGGGGTCTTGTTTGATGGATCTTAATGGGCTTAAGGATTCAGGTAGTTATCTTAGATAAATTACCTAAACTAAAGAATTTATAATTACTTTACTTTAAAGATTATAGAAATTTTATACTTTATTACTCTAATTCTTTATTATTATATATTATATATACTTAGGTTCTAGTAGTATAATAGTTAAGCACCTAGATAGCTAAAAGGCATAGATAGCTAAAGCTAAAAGGGGAATACCTCTAGCTACTATAAGCTTAAAGGTCCCTAGTTTAAACCTAGGCTAGAATATATAGTAATAAGGTTATTTTATAGTATAGCTAAAGGTAGTTAGTATCTATATTATTAAACTAACTAATAATAGCTCTTTCTAAGGTATTTACTAAAGTTTCCTATTTATTTAACTATATAAGAACTAGCTAAGTTAACTAAGGGCTTAGAAACTCTAATTATTATATATAAACCTTACTATTACTTTCCTTTATTATCTACTATATAATTACTTTATCTCTATACTTTTAAATAAAAAGGTTTTTAGCTTTAAAGAAGGTTTTCCTAAGAGATAATAAATAGAAGAAACTATATATTACTTAATTATATAGCTTAATACCTAGCTATAAAGATAAAAGCTATTTAAATAAATATAGATATATTACTCTAGCTAGTATAAATAGTATAATATATAATATTATTAATATATATACTTAGATTTAGGTTTATTTTTAATATATATAATATTTATTTATCTATATCTAACTCTACCTATTATTAATATTAATAATATTTATAATTAAAAGATCCTTTAAAAATAACTTAAGTTATTTATTTAATCTATAGTTACTAGCTAGTATAAATAGATTATATTCTATAATAGCTTCTTTATAATTTTTTCTAATAATTTATACTAAAAATTAAAGAATATTTAACTATAAAGGAATTAGAGATTAAAACCTTTAGTAGAGCTATTATACTAAGTAAGATTAAATATATAAAATTAATTTACCTTTTAGTATAGAAGATTTAAAAATAAGTTATTCCTCTAGCTAAGTAGAAAGAATATAAAATTATAATAATTAGTTAACTTATACTAGATAGGGTCTAGGGTAGGTTAAAGTTAAACTAATTAAGGTATTATTCTAAATAATATAATTAGGTTATTTAAGTACTATATAAGTTACTATTAATATATAAGTATTAAGGAGCTAGTTTAATAAAAGTAATAATAATAATATTAATAACTATTTAAGAGAGTATTTCTATCTAAGGAAAAGGAATATATATATATATTATATATAGAGTATTAAGAGTATATTACTCTTAATTAACTTACTAATTTTATAATAAGAGTATAATACTTTTATTACTTTAATCCTAAAGTAGGTCTATATATAACTATATAACCTATTTAAGAGGCCTTTATTTATAATATAATATCCCCTCCTTATTAATTTTATCCTTAAGATTATATATTTAATTAATAAGTCCTTTTTTTCCTTTTTTCCTATATATTATAATTATATTATAATATTTACTATATTTAATTATATCTAGAAATCTTTATATTTAAAGACTTATAAATAAGTTCTTTTTTCTATTATTATTTAGATATTTAATCTTCTTATTAATATATCTTATACTTCTTATTTTAAGATATAAAAAGAGTATATTATTTCTTTTAAGAGGAAATCCTCTAAGTATAGTAAGTATATATATTTTAATTACTATTATAATAATATATTAATAGCTTTAAACTATAAGTCTTTACCTTCTTATAACTTTTATTTTTTATTCTTAACTTATTTTTAGTTAAAAAGCTAATAACTTAATAAAAGAAGTTAGTAAAGGAGGAGTTAAATATAAATAGAAAGATCCTCTTTCTTTATAAATAAATAACTTAGCTCTAGAGTAACCTCTCTATAGCCCTTAGCTATATTTAGTAAATTTATAAAATTTAAGGTAGAATTAAGAGTAAGGTATATTAAGAGATTTAATAAGGCCTTTAAGAATTAGATTAAGAGGACTAAATTCCTTAAGGTTAAATACTTAATATCTTAGAATCCTTTAAGTACTTTATTATTAAGGAGGTTTATTTTTTTAGTATTACTTCTATAATAGATTTAAATTTATTAAATCTAAAGGAGGACTTTTTTAACTTAGATCTTTTACTTTTTAGTAAAACTATTAAATTAAATATTAATAATTCTTTAAATACTTAATAGGTTTCTATATATTATTATTTTTATTATAACCTTTCTATTTTATTAAATAGAATATCTATTTATTTTTAATTTCTTTTTTTAGGATTCTCTTTAGCTTAAATTCCTTTTTATAGACTTTAATTAAGTAATCTTAATTTAGTATATTTTCTAGTACTTTCTTAAGTAATAAAATATAAAAGACTAAGTAAATATATATTATATCTAATAATAATAGTTTATAGTTAATATTTAATTTTTTCTTTAAAATTTTAAATAGTTTAAGTTTCTTATAATCTAATTTATTACTTAACTTTATTATTATAATATTTTTTTAAAGTAAGTAGATCTTATCTCCCTCCTTTAAGATTAATCTCTTTAATCTTATCTTATTATAATATTTCTTTATTCTTTATTATATAAATTTTAATTTAGCTTATATTTCTATATATAATAAGTATAGTATTTCTTTTATAAGTATAATAATAAATACTATTAGTTTATTAAGTTTTAGTTTACTTAAGAACTTTAGTTTATAACTATAGTTTATATATATTAATCTAGCTAGCTGCTTAAGATTAAGGTCTTAAAGCACCTTAATCTCTAATGACCTTATAGCCTTAGTAGCACCTATAAGCTTATAGTTACTTATATCTATACTAGGAAACCTAGAGATTAGCGAGTTATACAGCTGCCTATCCCTAACAATAGGCACTAGTACCTCCGGCGGCTTGCGCTTTAGCATCTTGATGTGTCCTTTGAGACGTTTGTTATACTTGTGGTTGCAAGTTCAGAGCAGATCGGGCGAGATTAATGGCAAGCGCAGGCTCGGTAGGATGTTTGAGACTTAAGTGTGTCGATGAAGGCAGCGATGTGTGAAGCGGCGAAGGTAGCGATGTGTGAAGCGGCGAAGGTAGCGATGTGTTGTAGTTGAATTATCTATGAGTAGTGATTGCGGAATAGACGGATTATCGATTGTAGGTAGACTTAAGCTATATGGTTCTATTAGGCTAGGGATAGCGGCCTTTAAATAGATAGAAAGTAGTATTTTAAGGTTTATAAAAGGAGTTATACTAATAAAAGACTTATATTTAAGATATAAGCTATTATTAGTATTAAACCTTATATATAGCTAGGCGTAAGCCTTATAGCTAGGTAAAAAGGCTAAAGTTTAATATATTATAATACTAGGTATAATATTAAGTTATTTAATTCTTAGTATTTAGGAATTTCCCTTTTTTTTTTAGTAGCTACTATATAACTATATAGCTCTCTTACTTACTACTTACTATATATATTAATAATAATTAAGTTAATTCTTATATTATATTATTATATATAATTTATATTATAAGTAATAGTTATACTTAATTATCTTATTTATAATTAATATATACTTATAAGTATTATTTTAATATTTAGTTTAAATATTCTATTTATTTATTACTTTATAAGTAATAAGTAGTTAAAAGCTTATACTTTATATCTATTTATACTATAAATAATTATTAGAATTTAAAGGTAAATATTATTCCTCTATTTAATATTATTTTATTTAATAGTTTATAGTTTATAATTATATATTATAGGACTTAATATATAAGGTCTTTTATACTACTTACTTCTTTATATAATATAAAATACTTATACTTTATAAATCTATTTATAATTACTAAAATACTATTATATTTTACTTTAATTATAAGTTCTTTAAATAATAATAGTTTAATAATATAATTAAAAAATATTAATTATTATAATTATTTTAATACTAAGATTAGTTTAAGTTCTTTATATAGTTTATATTATATTAATTTAATTTATATATAAGTATTATACTTTAAAACTATAGTTTATACTTCTTTTTATAAGCTAAGGTAATTATAATATTATTTAATTTTATTAAAGGTTTTTTTAACTCCTTAATATCTTATAAGTAAGTACTTATAAATTTCTTTAATAAGTATTATTCTTAA